AGAGGCCGAGGAGTACCACTCGAAAGTACCGATGAAGCATAGTTGCAAGGGCTGAAGGGGTACCAGGAAAAGGTCGCAAAAGGTACCATTGCAGAGGCCGAAGAATGCAACACTTGGGAGGGCAGAAAGGTCATTGAGTTAATCGCCGTTTTGGGTGAAAAATGGCAAAAAAAAAATCAATACTCATCAAACGACATAATTATGTTGATATTAAGGAGCTGCATCGTGAAATACCTTGCAGTTCAGTGATATTGCAGTCATTATATGAAAATATGCACGTCAAAGAAAAAAATAACTTGAAGAAACAGCAATGTTCTTGAGTAATTAAGATCATTACAAATCTGCTCAGAAAGTGTACATAGATGACACAAATAATGTATTCTTCCACTTGCCTCTGTCTGTGTCTCTCTCTGTCTCTTTCTCTTTCTTTTTCTCTCTCTCTGTCTCTGTCTTTCTTTCATCTTTAACTGATTTAACTGACTCATTATTACAGCAGTCAATTTTATTCGAAGATTTGGAACAAAAATAAAAATAAATATAAGCTCTATATGTGGCTTTCTTTCTCCTTTAACATATAACATTTAATAACATATAAACTTGTGCCACTATGAACACACAAATAACTCTGGTCCTTATTTCATCATAGCTGTACTTTTGCGTAAAAGTGGTTGTTCTACGAAAGTTTATGAAAAATCTGGCATTTTTTTATGGTCAGGCAATGACAGGTAATGTAAGCTTATTCTTGATAAAAATTCCCAAAATTAACAAAGCAATAAAACATCACATTCAAAAAATTGTTAAAGAGATTATCAAGAACTTATAAATAAAAATAAAAGTTATTTAGTTTGAAAGAAAATGGGACATTTTTTCTCGACTTTTAAAAATGCCCCTTTTGGATAACTGAGTTTCTCTTTATAACAGGGGCGAGATATATTAATGAAAACTAAAAAAAAAAATCAGATACCTCTTTCAAATTATTCAAACTACAAAGGGATCGTGTACCTGCTTAAAAGACTAAATTCTTATTTTCTCCCAGGAGTCATACTTTATTAATTTATATATCTGCTTCATAACACATTTTTTGGATAATAAAATGAACTGAATTAAAGACATAATTGCATCCATGTCAATTCCTCAAAATGTTCTTATGGAAAATCAATCTTGGGAAGGGTGTTTCAACCTCAAAATTTTTGTTTTAAATCTGAAACCAAAAAGCTTTGGATAAATCACTGAAATGAACCTCTGCTATTTTTCAACTCGAATGATATAATTGGTAATAATTACTCAATATTCATAATGAATTGTAGAAGAATTACATATATATATACATAATGTATATAATCATGATACAACTTTAATGAATGGAATTGTAGCAATTTTACTTATTTTCCTTCAAAATCACATCAGGTATTAACCAGTGATGTTGGGATGGCACGAATGTATGCCATGTCCACATTGTTTTCTTTTTTCTTTGGTTCTTATTTGTCTTTGCACATAAATGGCCCCACAAGTGTTTAATCACCAAGGAGTCCATTACTAGTCCTACCAATCTACCTGTGTACCCTTATTCTTGATTTTTGGAAAGATTCCATTTATGGTTGCTATTAGTACTGTTCATAGCATTAAAAAAAAAAATGTAACATCAACAACAATATTAACAACATCGATATCAGACACAGTTAAAAAAAAAAAGTCCCTAAAATTCCAAGAAAGCTGAAAGCTAGGTCGTAGGTCATTGGCTCCTTGGTGGTCAAGCATTTGCAGAGCCATCAATGTGCAAACTAAAGTCGACAGTATATTTACCAGGTAGTAAACATGTTACTGAATCTTATCAATTCAGGGTTAAGAATAACACCAAATCTAAATAATATTTTTATTGGTGTATTACACCTAAAAAAAGTGTACATAGCTACAACATTTAACACTTCCATAAAGAAAAATTAAATAAAACACTACCTACCAGCATTTTACATCCAATGCATTGTGTACAGAAACTGAAATATTATACCTAGATCATACTTTTTTATGAGTCACAATGTAGAGGGATTTTCCCATGGGGCAATATTACACAGAAGTCCCCCCGGTCTTTGTCTCTGCCTTGGTCGACGGGGGGGGTGGGACGTAGGAGGTGAGTGGAACGGGACTGTGGGCTTGTGTGGGTTGTTAGGGGCAGAAGCCAGTGGAAGGGGCAAGAGTGTGCAGCATGTAATACTGACGGATTCTGAGAGAAGTGGAGTGAGAGGAAAGAAAAGGGAAAGGAGAGAGAGAGAGAGAGAGAGAGAGAGAGAGAAAAAGAGAGAGAGAAAGGTCGTGGGTCAAATCAGGCCATCTGAATGTCTTACGGGATAGGACACGACAAGAAATGAGCTAGGAGAAGGGGGAGAGAGAAGAATGAGAGAAAGGAGGGACATCGAAAGGCCCGAGAGAAGCGCGGCAGACGCAGAGACCGAGTGACCAGGAGTGTAATACAGGCCATGACGCCACACACCATCATTCACATATTTCGACTATTCGGGGGGAAAATGTACACCATCTAGTGGCTAACACCTAAGTTATTTGTGTGTAACATCCAAAATATGTACGATGAGACATTCAGGTGTGAGGAGAACGAGGAGGTGGCCATGCTTGGGGGGGAGGGAAGGGGGGGGACTTAGGGGAGGAATGGCTCTGAGCAACTGCCAAGCAACAACAACAACAACAAGGACATTGCTGCTACTACTGCTGCTATAGCTGTTGTTCTAAAGAGGGTTGGGGGGGGGTGGGTTAATGGGGGGGTAGGGGGAAAGAGAAATGAGGGAGAGGGGTGGTGGTGGGGGAGGGGAGGGGAGGAGGGGGACACAGTAATAGGACGTGCAGCTTTCACCCTCTCGAGAGATCCTCATGGCGAGGAGTATGGATTGATCTGTTACTGTTTGTTGCCGTGTGTCCCATTACACTTTTTTTTACAGGTTTTTTGATAATGAGACAGAGAGAACAGCTGGAAGAGAATAAGTGTGAGACAGGAAAGAAAAACAAAGAGAGAGAGAGAGAGAGAAAAAAAAAAGAAAAAAAGAAAATAACAGAAACCAAAGCAAAATCAAACGGAATACGTGGTCTAATTCCTTTCTCATTTTGTTTTGAGAGTATGTCAAAGAGTAAGCTGTATGTCAAAAGAAAGACGAAACAAAACGACGACAAACTGGTAACATAGGAACAAACTAACCCTTTTTACAAACTCCTCACCTTCTGCCCCGAGTGCCAACGCTGACACCACCTGCAAACACTATCCACAGTTCCCCCGCACTGAACTTGGGCAAAACTCAAGAGCATGTTGTGTAGGTACTAACCTCTGTAACTTCACTAATGTGTCCTAAACCAAAAAAGAAAGTATTGCCGCACCAAACATGAAAAGGAGCCAATAATAATCAAATGATGATAACAATAATAATGGCCATAATAACAACAACAATGGTTATAATTATAATAATGACAATAATGACAATAATAATAAATATGAAGCTGAAAAAGTTTCAACCTCACCACATACTGTACAACAAACCAAGGCAAAGCCAGCGATGCAATGCAAAACCTGCCTCTGAACTGCTCCTGAACACTAACAAACTAAGTGAAATACTGCAGCAATCAATGCTAAATATAGCATACACGATCTACATTGCATACCTGTGTACGTATGTGTGTGTGTGTGTGAGAGGAAAACAACTGGCGTGTTCGACGATGTCCTACCGATACTGTACGGAGAAGGAAAGGCGAAGGACCCACCCAGATCTGACTAGGCACATAACACAAGACGGCAACGCATCGTCCAAACGGCTGGAGACGACCCCCGGCGACCCCCCGACGACCATCCGGCAGAGGACGGGCAAGAAGGGAAGGCCAACACACGCACGCCCTCTGCTGTCTGCCACCACCTCCCACCAGAAGCCAGGTTATGCCCCCCCCCCCCACCCTCCACCCTTAACCTCAAAGCCCCACCCCCCCCTCTACCTCCACACTCCTAAGGATTCTCTCTCTCAGCACGGAAACGGCCCCACGCTCGTCATTGGGAGACAGACAAATATCCAGGCGAGAGGTGGAGTTAATAGAGACTGAGGAAAAGGGAGGAAGGGAAAAGGGGAGGGAAATGGCGGGAAGAAGCATAACCCAAAAATGGAATGAATGTTTTACGAAACAAAGTTATAAACGACGGAGAGAGAGTGTAGCGAGACGAGAGCATCGGAGACGAGGAAACGAGGCTGAAGGACATTAGGAAGGAGGGAGCTGGGAGAAGGGAGAGGGAATGGAAGAGCTGAAGAGAACAAAAGGAAGAAAAAGAGAGAGAGAGAGAAAGGATTCTTTATTTTTTTTTTTTATTCTGGTGTCACCCGCTAAACTTTATTTGTCAACTTTGTGCTATACTTTGGTAAACAAATGAGGTAATGCACACTCCTCAATCCAGCCCAGTTGCTCCACCATTCTACGGAAATCACAAAAAAAAGAAAAAAGAGAAAGAAAAAAAAAAAAAAAAAAAAAAAAAAAAAAAAAAAAAGACCAGAACAGAGAGAAGGGGGAAAAAAAAAGTCTTTCCAACTCGATGAACAAAAATAAATCATATATCTCTTTTTCAGGGTGAAAGGAGGGGGGGTAGGGGTGAGAAGGGGATGGGGGAGGGGAGTGGCTTGCATGATTAGGCACTGGCCAACTAAATCCCCTCACAAACTTAACATGGCTTCTCTATTGAAGAACAAGATATAAAAAAAAAAAAAAAGAAGGAAAGGAGGAAAAAATATATATATTATCAATAATAATAATAAAATCCCAAGAAATGCTATACGTATACAGCATGGACCCTTCCTTCCTCTGAGCTCGCAAGCTGCAACGATTGCAGCGCTGGGCCAAAGCACCTCGAACTTTTTTTTTTTTTTGGGGGGCTGACCCTTCTGTGGGGGGGGAGGGGGCCAAATTCTACGTCCACGAGAGCTTTTTTTTCTTTAAATTTTTCCTTTCCTCTGGAGTTCTACATGTTTTTGTTTGCTTTTTTTTTTATTGTAAAGTGGCCTCTCCAACCATAGTTTCTCTCCCCAGTGAAATCTGTGTGAAGTAAATACAATATATTGTATAAAGTAAACGCACTTTGAAGCAAGAACGAGAAGGCAGTATTAGCCAACCAAAACTTTTTTTTTTTTTCTCCTGTCTGTAGCAATACCTGCATTCTCACACCAGCACTTTTATAAATATTACTTCTTTTTTTTTTTTTCGTTTTCGTTTTTTTTTTTTTTTTTTTTTTTTTTTTGGATTTTTTTTTTGGATTTTTTTTGTTTTGGGAGTTTTTCCTTTTTCTTTAAATATACATTAGTACAGAAGTCACAGTGGCACACCCCTCTCTCGCTCCACCTGCCTCTAGGGGCCTGTAATGTCGCTTTCCCTCGTCCTCTACAATGATCTTTTTCTCATTTTCCCAGTCGTCGTTATGATCTCTTCCTTGTCACTCGTTTATCGTATATTTCACCCCCTAAGAGCTCTCCATTTTATACACGCACAAGCACAAACCAACAAACCACTGGCTCGTCATTGTTTATTTTTATTTTATTTTGAAAGCAGAGTGAGAGACAAGAGAAGAGAGATGAGAGATTATATAATAATGATAATAATAATAATAATAATAAAAAAAAAGAAAGATAGAAAAAAAAAAAAAAAAAAACTATCTCTGAGCACTTTCTTTCTGTCACTCATCACCACTTGTATATGTATATGTATATATGTATATATAAATCTCTCTCTCTCTCTACCTCTCTTATTTCCTTTCCTTTTCCTCACTCGCCTTTCGCACTTCCTCAAATAAAAGGGGGAACTGACTGGCCCCCCCCTTTTTACACACTTCACCAACACCACTGCCATTGATTAGCTACTGGTTCGTGCCCTCTTGGGGTTGCTGGAGAGGTTGTCCTTGCTCGAGCGCTTCTTCGCCGCGTCGTTCTTGGTGGGCGACTCGTCTAGGCTGATCACCTCCACGCTGCTTCCCCCGCTGCGCCGCGTGGGTCGCGAGCCCACTTTGGTGATGGTGATCTCCTTACTGACTGTTGGCTGCTGCAAGAGGAAGGAATAGATGAGGTCGCAGGTCATTGGGTTCCTTTGAAAATAAAAGAAACACGGAGTGGCTTGTCCAACTCGTAAGGGAGAGAAGGTATTTGGTATTGATATTTATTACTCTCTTCTGAATGTTGTTGCTTTAGAGCCTTCATTAAATATGGACTTTACTAACTTCAACTTCAGCCTGTTTGTTAATCTAGTTTCCTAACTTCTACTGAAGTCATGAAAGAGAACAAGTTACAACGAACTAAGGTATAATTGAGTCTTTCCTCGTTCTTTCAAAGAGGAAAACATGGAGCAATTTTTATGTTGGAATGAGAACTTTCATGAATGGAATGGCCTTTATATGAACACAGTGAGAGAGTTTATTTCTTGGGCTCGGTTACAAAATAATATGCAGTATATGTTGCTTGGGTGTGTTTCAGATCAGTGCCAAAGAAGGGGGTCAGTGTTACTGCACATTGCATTGAAGTTACTCACTGAATGGAAGAGGCAAGTGTGTGAATCTACAACGAAAAATTAATCATGTTAAGTATTTTAGCAGCTTGGATATTGTTGGAAAAGATCGGCTAAAATGCAACGAATGGGTGAAGATATGGTTTAGCTGGTGACTACATAGGTGGTCATAAAAGTATCTGGCTGCAACATGCAACTACCAACAAGGGGCAGATGGTTAAGTGGTGCCATCTCCACAGTCATCACCAGAATACAGCTCTACACCTATTCTTTAAAACCAAGGCTGCAAAACTGATTATGCAACTGAACCCTTTCTCTCTCTCTCTTCCTTAGCTAAACAAATCCCCAATTCCAATCTCTCTATTATTATTATTCTCCTCTCTCTTCCTACCTTTGTCATCCCTTTCCTTCCCAATTCCTCGCTTTTGCTTCTGAGCTGTGAGCTCACCCTCACCTGCTTCCTTGTCTCCCATTCTACCCTCCATTTTTTCTATTCCTCTTCATCCCCCCCTCTCTCTCTCTCTCTCTCTCTCTCTCTCTCTCTCTCTCTCTCTCTCTCTCTCTCTCTCTCTCTCTCTCTCTCAAACCTTATTTCTCCCCCCATCTTCCTACCCCCTTCATTCTACCCCTCCCATCCCATCCCATCCTTTCTATCTCCCTCCCTCCCCACCCTCCCTCCCTCCCCACCCTCCCTCCCTCCCCACCCCACCCTCCCTACCACCTTCCCTCCCTCCCTCCCTCCCTCCCTCCCTCCTTACCACTACCCCCTCCCCCTTAATACCACTTACCGTGCTTTCTCCCTTCTTTGTGGGCGCTGGCTTGTCTGGTTTGGTGTTTTTGGACGCAGGCTGCGGAATAATGGTGATCTCGTCATTGATTTTTAGCGGAGACTCAGTGGACCCTGAACCTACAGTGACGGAGAAAAGGGGTTAACTCTTGAGGTGACGTGTGGTTTGGTTTATTATTGCTACTATTTTTCTTTCTGCCGGGAAGTCTGGCTGTTAGGAGCTACTTACGCATGCGGCCTGGGGTTAGGAAAGCAGGATAAGGGAGTGTGTGTGTGGGATGGACACAGAAATAGGTAAAAGAGGAAAAGAGAATGGGAGAGAAAAGAGAGAGAAAGAGAAAGAGAGAGAGAGAGAGAGAGAGAGAGAGAGAGAGAGAGGAGGGTGAAGGGAGGATAGGAGAGAGGATGAAAAAGAAAGGAAGAGAGAAAGAATGAAATAAGGAAGAAAAAAGAAAGGAAGAGAGAAAGTATGAAAGAAGAAAGGAAGGCACACACAGTAAAAGAAAGAGGAAAGGAAGAGAGAGGATGAAAGAAGGAAGAAAGGAGAAAGGAAGAGAGAGAGAGAGAGAATAAAAGGCAGAAAGACATCGACCATACACAGATAGGGAAAAGTATGATCAACCAAAAGAAAACTGCAAATAAAGAAACAGCAAACAGAAAACGGCCAAGTAATCAGAATTTAACCCACTCGCACTGTCAAAGCAAGTTACTCTCAACTGTCCATCAATATTCACCAGTAATAAAACCCTACTATTAATCATACTAAATGTGACTGAAATTACGACTATGAATACGTAACAATGATGTTAAATATAAGGAAATAAATCCTCTTTCTTAAAGCAAATAAGGGTATTTACTGGGCCTTGTAGACAAAACAAAACAAAACAAAAATGCAAACAAATAACTTAAGATGACAGCAAATGGGTTAACTTAACTTAAATTTCCTTAAAATAAATAAATAAATAAAAGTAAACAATATCCAAATCCTTGTTAGTGTGAGAGACTGCAATGACTTAAGCTGTTTTTTAATCAATAAAAGCAAATGAATTCTTCAAGTTATATAAACAAGAGTTCCAAGAAACAGCATTATTATAATAATTGTTAGTGTGACCAAAAGGTGCTCATAATGATAATGATAATGTAATAATCTCGTCAAATCTTGAGTGTAAGTTAAAAAAAAAAAGACCTAAACCAAACAGTAATTATGCTAAAATACATTACTTTCATTATCTTTATTAGCACCGATATGAAGCTTGAAATAAACATCATAAGTATCAATTCCTCTATATTACTATACAGGCAACCCACACTAAACACAGATATGATTCTTTTATCTTCAAATTTCTCTTCCAAAAATCTCTATAGCATTTTCCCCACTTGCAATGATATACCAATAACCCTTGCCCCCAAAGTGACTGCTATGCATATAATAGCAATTTTGTCACTTCCCCCTAGCACTGAGAGAATTACCATCCTTGCTTCCAGGTGGATATGAAGAAAATGCTATAACGTATCATAATTACCTTGTGGCTGTTGGATAATGGCCCCTAAGAAGAGTGGAAGCCTACCAGTAATTAAGGTCAAAGACCGAAGAAAAAGCCACGAACATTATAAACGATCATCGTGAATAACTAGGAGATAATAACGTCTTGTACTACAACTGAATTTCTAATTTTGTTTTTCCTTTTCATTTGTCACCCCCCCCCACACACTGCAATTCCTTCAATAACAAGTCAATCAAATCTTATCTATCTGGTCATTTATTTATTTTTAATTTGCAAAAACTACTTTGGCACTGGCTTGGTGACAAAGGAGTTCTCAATTAATCTTCATTACAATTCCTTTGGTACACATTCAGTTGCCTTAAAACTGATTTTTTTTTAGTGGGGGATGCCTGTATCCTAAGATAAAGCAATGACTTAACTTATAGATAGTAATATTAATAAAATACTTAACTGCATTAATAAAATTAACAAAAACAACAAATGAAGTCAATGAAACCCCATGAACAAACATCAACAAAATGCCCCTCTGTTCCGCCTTCCCTCCCTCCTTTACTATGGAACTTTCCTCCTCCTCCTCCACTCCCTCCCTCCCTCCTTCCCTCCCTCCCTCCCCCGACTCTGGAAAAGATCCCTCCTTCGTCTGAATAGAAATGACAAAAGAACAGAAAAGAAAAAAAAGAAAAAATATATAAAAAAGAAGAAAAGAAATAAAGGAAAGAAAAGGAAAGAAAAGAAAGGAAATGAAAAGAAAACAAGAATACCCTATTCCCACCCACTTCCCACTTCCCCCTTCCCCCTTCCCTCCTCACTCCTCCTTCCCCCTGTTTCCTCCTCCTTTCTTCCTACCTTTCTTCCTTCCTTCCTCTTCCCTTTTGCTCTCTTCCTCCTCCCTCTCTGAAAGGAAAAACAATATCCTTCATGCTATCTAACTCAATATATATTTTCATCTTTATTCTGTTTCTTTTCTTTCTTTTTTTTTCCCTTTATTATCCCTTTTAATCACACCTTCCAACAATGTGGGACTTTACGGTATTTAAAAATAATCTTCTTACTCGACGTTACAAAAAATCTGAGGTCTTTAACCCGATGCTGCTGGGGACGGCATGAAACTACATGCCTTGCCCACTGTGAGTTTAGTTTATTAATTGTCTTTACACATAGATGGCTCCACAAGTGATTAGTCACCAAGGAGT